AACAAAATCATGAATGAAAGAGGAGAGATCAAAACCAACACCAAAGAAATACAATTATAAGAACATATTATGAGCAACTCTATGCCAGCAAATTAAGATAATCTGGAAGAAATGGATGCATTCCTAGAGATGTAATCAACTACCAAAACTGAACCAGGAAGAAATAGAAAACCTGAGAACAGACCTATAACCACTAAGGAAATTGAAGTGGTAATCAAAAATGTCCCAACAAACAAGAGCCCAGGTCCAGATGGCTTCCCAGGGGAATTCTACCAAACATTTAAAGAAGAATTAATACCTATTCTTCTGAAACTGTTCCAAAAAAATAGAAATGGAAGGAAAACTTCCAAACTTGTTTGGTCAGGCCAGCATTACCTTGATTCCAAAACCAAAGACCCCATCAAAAAGGAAAATTACAGACCAATATCCCTGATGAACATGGATGCAAAAATTCTCACCAAAATACTAGCCAATACGATCCAAGAATACATTTAAAGGATTATTCACCACGACCAAGTGGGATTTGTTGCTGGGCTGCGAGGTTGGTTCAACAGCCGCAAATCAACATGATACATTTTTAATAAAAGAAAGAACAAGAACCATATGATCCTCTCAATAGATGCAGAAAAGTATTTGACAAAGTACAGCATCCTTTCTTGATTAAAACTCTTCACAGTGTAGGGATAGAGGGTACATACCTCAATATCATAAAAGCCATCTATGAAAAACCCATGGTAAATATCATTCTCAATGGGTAAAAACTGACAGCTTTCCCCCTAAGGTCGGGAACACGGCAGGGATGTCCACTATCACCACTGCTATTCAACAGAGTACTAGAAGTCCTAGCCTCAGCAATCAGACAACAAAAAGAAATAAGAGGCATCCAAATTGGCAAAGAAGTCATCAAATTCTCACTCTTTGCAGATGATACGCTACTTTATGTGGAAAACCCGAAAGACTCCACCCCAAAACTGCTAGAACTGCTAGAACTCAAGAATTCAGTAAAGTGGCAGGATATAAAATCAATGCACAGAAATCAGTGGCATTTCTATACAAGACAGAAGAAAGAGAAATTAAGGAGTCGATCCCATTTACAATTGCACGCAAAACTGTAAGATACCTAGGAATAAATCTAACCAAAGAGGCAAAGGATCTGTACTCAGAAAACTATAGAATACTCATGAAAGAAAATGAGGAAGACAGAAGGAAATGGAAAAACGTTCCATGCTCATGGATTGGAAGAACAAATATTGTGGAAATATCTAAGCTACTTAGATCAGTCTACACATTTAATGCAATCCCTACCAAAATACCATCACCACTTTTTTCAAAGAAATGGAACAAATAGTCCTAAAATTTGTATGGAACCAGAAAAGACCCCCGAATAGCCAGAGGAATGTTGAAAAAGAAAAGCAAAGCTGGTGGCATCACAATCCCAGACTTCAAGCTCTATTACAAAGCTGTAATCAACAAGATAGTATGGTACTGGCACAAAAACAGATACATAGATCAAGAGCCCAGAAATGGACCCTCAACTCTATGGTCAACTAAACTTTGACAAAGCAGGAAAGAATGTCCAATGGAAAAAAGTCTCTTCAACAAATGGTGTTGGAAAAACTGGACAACTACATGCAGAAGAATGAAACTGGACCATTTCCTTACACCACACACAAAAATAGACTCAAAATGGATGAAAGACCTAAATGTGAGACAGGAATCCATCAAAATCCTAAAGGAGAACACAGGCAGCAACCTCTTCAACCTCAGCACAACAGCAACTTCTTCCTAGACACATCACCAAAGGCAAGGGAAGCCAGGGCAAAAATGAACTATTGGGTCTTCATCAAGATAAAAGCTTTTGCACAGCAAAAGAAACAGTCAACAAAACCAAAAGACAACTGACAGAGTGGGAGAAGGTATTTGCAAATGACATATCAGGTAAAGGGCTAGTACCCAAAATCTATAAAGAACTTATCAAACCTAACACCTAGAGAACAAATAATACAATCAAGAAATGGGCAGAAGACATGAACAGACATTTCTACAAAGACATCCAAATGGCCAACAGACACATGAAAAAGTGTTCTACATCACTTGGTATCAAGGAAATCCAAATCAAAACCTCAATGAGATACCACCTCACACCAGTCAGAATGGCTAAAATTAAGTCAGGAAACGACAGATCTTGGCGAGGATGTGGAGAAAGGGGAACCCTCCTACAGTGTTGGTGGGAATGCAAGCTGGTGTAGCCACTATGGAGAACAGTATGGAGGCTCCTCAAAAAGTTGAAAATAGAGCTACCCTACGACCCAGCAACTGTACTACTGGGTATTTACCCCAAACATACAAATGTAGTGATCCGAAGGGGCACGTGCACCCCAATGTTTATAGCAGCAATGTCCACAATAGCCAAACTATGGAAAGAGACTCAATGTCCATCAACAGATAAATGGATAAGGAAGATGTGATACCCACATACACACACACACACACACACACACACACACACACACACTGAAATATTACGCAGCCATCAAAAAAATGAAATCTTGCTATTTGCAACGACATGGATGGAACTAGAGGGTATTATGCTAAGCTAAATAAGTCAATCAGAGAAAGACAAATATCGTATGATCTCACTGTTAGGAGGAATTTGAGAAACGAGAGAGGATCATAGGGGAAGAGAGGGAAAAATCAAACAAGACGAAACCAGAGGGAGACAAACCATAATAGACTCATAATCTCAGGAAGCAAACTGAGAGTTGCTGGAGTGGATGGGGGTGGGAGGGATGGGGTGGCTGGGTGATGGACATTGGGGAGGGTATGTGCTATGGTGAGCGTGGTGAACGGTGTAAGACTGATGAATCACAGACCTGTACCCCTGAAACAAATAATAATAATACATGTTAATTAAAAAAAAAATGAGATGACCCATACCATCTATCAGGTAGGCTATACCCTGATATTTAAATTTAACAGTTTTGCAACTAATAGCTGCAACTAAAAATTTTACTTTAAAAGTCTAAAAGTCTGTTCTCAACATTGGAAATAAATCGGTAAAAAATTATGTTTTTACATCACCAAATTTTAATATTAGGCCCCCAAAATCTTAGTAATTGCTTAGAGAATAAATTCTTTAAATTCAATTAATTAACATAGAGTGTATTATTAGTTTCAGAGGTAGAGTTCAGTGATTCATCAGTTGCATACAACACCCAGTGCTCATTCCATCACGTGCCTTCCTTCATGCCCATTACCCAGTTACCCCACCTTGTCTCCCCTCCAGCAACCCTGTTTCTTTCCTATACTTAGGAGTCTATCATGGTTTGTCTCTCCCTCTGGTTTCATCTTGTTTTATTCTTCCCAGGTTTTGTTGTTTTTTGGTTTGTTTGTTTTTTTTTTTTTTACTAACCAGAATCATGCTGTATGTATTGTTCGTTGATGTGCTTACTGGAGATGTTCTCAGCCTAGCACACTCCTTTTATCCGTTCTCTATTCCATAGAAATAGATGTTTGGGTTGCTTCATTTTGCTGTTATAATTATGCCCACTTTTGTGCACAAACTTGAGCACAGGGGCTGGAATTTGAGGGGAAGAGCGTCAATTTGAGCCCGTGGCAATCTGAGGTGAAGGCATGTTGACTTGGCATTGAGCAGGTGGCAGACCATGCATGCTGACTCGGGCAGGAGGGTGGCTAGACCGTGAATTTGGGACCCACAGGCTGATGGCATCGTGTGTGACAGGGACGTGGCTGGTTTTGCTTTTAACTTTTGTTTTTCTGGGAAACTCGATCTCTCCTTCTATTCTAAATGAAGGCCTTGCTGGATAGAGTATTCCTGGCTGTAGATTTTTTCCTTTTAGTGGTTGGAATTTCTCATGCCACTTTCTAGAGAATAAATTCTTGAAGAACGCTACATGTGACCAACCACCCTTCTCTTGTTTTACCTAATAATTATGATGGTGATAATTAACAATTACTTATAACAGTCAGGCACTCTTCTAAGATATATATATAAAACTCATATATTCCTCAAAACTAGTCATGATTAGGTAATTTGCCCAAAAAATAGAACATTAGACATGAACTCATGTAGTCTGGCTCTCGAATGCCAATGTTTACAGTCTTCTGTGGAGAGCTTTGAGTGGTAGAGATTGCTAAAACTTCAGAGAGATACTTCAAGTAGGTACTCTTGTACTCATTTTACAAAGACAACTAAAATTTGTACAAAGTCATACAAACAGTAAGTGATAAATCAGGACTTTAATCTAGTTACCTTACTCTAAAAACCAATTTCTTAACTATTAAAACAGATCACCCTCTCTATAACCACTAATAGTAGCAATAAATCCGAAAACCATCAGATAAATCAGATCAAATCTCATATAAAAATTAAGGCCAAATAAAAGATACTATGTCACGATGTAAACTTAAAGATTACACCCTCAAAAATATGAATTGTCAGTTGTTTCCATTCATAAAATTTATCACCTACTGAGAGAAAATATACATCCTACATAAAACAGTTTAACATTAGAGATAAAATAAATAGTTGTAATATTAACTTTGCCTGCCACATACTCTAAAGCAGCAAATGTAAATGTACCTGCAAGGAGGCAAGACCATGGAGTCTTTCATAAGCACAGATCCAGAAAGCAGGATATACCAACATCTGGCAACAGTTTCTGAACTGTTAAAATAAGTAAAATTAATGAGTAAATACACACACGTATTCACATGCATATGACTCAAAATTATACATAACATGACTCAATACAAAGTACATAACATGAAATACATTCTAAAAATATTTAAGGCATTAAAATTTAATGGAATTTTGGGAAATACTGTTGCCAAAGGTTTTATACAGACCATGTTCATATGGGAAAAAGTGTTATCACTACTTTAAGATACAGACTTCACAAGTATATGGTTATTAACTCAATTTTATTAATTATACCATTAGCTTCACCTTCTTCATTTTTGTGTAGTGGATCATAACACCTGATGATTAAAGCTTAAATATTGTACATCTGTTTATCATAAAATCTTGTTTTGATAACTTTTATATATATTAAAGACTACTATTTGAAATTCACAAGTTCATCAATGTTGTATCTTCACTGACAACTATAATTTGAATCATGATCTATTTCTTTTAAATTTTATTGACATAAAATGCCTACCAAATCTTTCATTTTATATGTGTTTGAAGGATAAAAGAATACCAGAGACTTAAGTTTATCAGCATTTTAGTTGAGTTAAATCTCTAATGGAAACCCAGAATCTTGTTAGTGTATAAACTAACCATTCTGTCTTTCAAATATCTTTATTTACCATACCTAAGGTTTTAATTAATTCCAATATGTAAAAGATTCTAGTATCTATAAAACAAATCATTTCTATGACCTGGAGATTTTTATCTATCTACTTGAAATGTCAACTTGAATATCTAACAGAGAGAACTCAAACTCAACAAATTCAAAATCTACCTATCATTTCCTTCAAGCTTGTATCTTCTCTGGTATTCTCTGTATTCGATGAATACTGCCATCCTCCACCCAGAAACCTAGGCTTCTAAAACAGTCCACATAGCACTCAGGGTAAGCTTTCTAGGTCAATCCTATTACTGACCATAAGAAGGAAAAATTGTCAGCTTTCCAGTAGGTACGTTATTATTATTATTTTTTAAGATTTATTTGAGATAGAGACCACGCACATGTGCGAGTAAACAGGGAGGACCAGGGGTGGGCGGGGAGGCAGGGGGGAGAGAGAAAGAATCCTCAAGCAGACTCTGGGCTGAGCACGGAGCCCAATCCCAGGACCCTGAGATCATGGTCTGAGCCAAAATCAAGAGTCTGCCAGTTAACCAACTGAGCTACCCTGGTGCCCCTCCAGTAGGTACTTTTAAGTTCTTTTTTAATATCTTCATCTCCACTGAGGGAAGACCTAAATGGCTGCACATCTCCTACTTAAGGTTCTTTGTTTAGAAATTCTACTTCCTTTTTCTTGTGAAATATGACTTACAAAGTCAAGGAGGAATAAAATCAAAAAATTTGCCAGAAATTAAGACAGAAGAAAGTTAAGTGGATGCCACCACAAGCCTCCAATTTTTATCTCACTTAACTGAAGGGGTCACAAAGTTGTCAGTAACTTCTATTATAAATGTAGGAAAATTCCTGAAGTTCACTCCCACCACAAAGAGAACCATGCCAGCCCATGAATAAGAAACTGGTCAGACCTTGCAAAAAAAATTCACTCTCAGAGCATGGTTTGACAAAGCATCTGGCTAAGTAAACCCAAGGAAAGCAAAATGCTTTCATGTGGGCCATTCTATCTCCTTTCTCTGGGCAAGCAAACTCTAGCCCAGAGAAGGAAGGCATACTTAATCTTGTCAGATCTTATTCATACAAAGGCTTCAGATACTCCCAAGAAAAAGACAAAAAAATCTTAAGAGGGCCTCCACCTGCTTCTCCAGACTCCTCTCTTGCTGGTTCCTCTTCTTCCCTCATGGTGCTTGAACACACTGGTTTACTTTCCCTTTTTCTACCAGGCTGCTTCCCAGTTCAGATCAACCATACACACTCTCTTCTCTGCCTCCACCAATCTCTGAATTTAAATTCTTCGTTAACTTCCACATTCTTTTTAAATTCTATTATTAACCAGATACAGATCTGTGTAACTCCTAATATTTTTGGAACAGTTTATTGAGGTATAATTTAAATACCGTAAATTTACCCATTTTAAGTGCATAATTCAATTTTCATGAAACTTAAAAGAACTGTGCAAAGATCACCACAATCCAGTTTTAGAACACTTCTTTGTGTTCTTAACCAATAACATGCTCTGTCTCTATAGATGTGGCTTTCCTGGGCAGTTCATATAAATGGGATCATGTAATAGATGGTGTTTCTTCCTTGCTTCTTCCACTTAGCATGTTTTTGAGGTTTATTCATGTTGCAGTATATATAAATGCTTTATTCCTTTTTTATTGCCAAATAGTATTCCACTATACAGATACATGACATTTTATTTATCCATTCATCAAAAATTTTGATCATTTCTGGTTTTAGGCTGGAAATACAAATAGCACTACTAAGAACATCTGTGTACAGTCTGTATGCGTATGCTTTCATTTCTCTAGTATAAATACGCAAAAGTGGAATTACTGAGTCACGTGGTAAAATTGTTTAACTTTTTGAGAAACTGCTACTGTTTCCTACAATAACTCTGTCATTTAACATCCACAACACCAACACATGAGGATTCCAGTTGTTACCTATTGGTGCCAATACTTGCTACTCTCTACATTTTTGACTGTGGCTATTCTAACGGCTGTAAAGTAACAGCTCATTAATTTATGTATTAATTTTGTATGATGTAAGGTAAGGGTCTAAATTAACTTTTTGCAAGTAAATACTCAATTAACCCAGCATCATTTGCTGAAAACACTATGCTGTCCTCTCTGAAATGCTTTAGCACCTTCATCATAAATGAACTGTTCATCGGTGGTTCCTTTTTAATCCTCAATTGTGTTATACCCACACTACGGACAAATCTTAGCTAGAGGCCATTAAAAAAAAAATAATAAAAAAAACTTCCTAAATACAAGGGTTTACTTCTGGGCTCTCAATTCTGTTCCAATGATCTATTATCTATTCTTTTCCTTGATAGCACTTAAATATGTTTAACTTTTAATTTTCTCTACTCCACTCAACAATAAGCTCAATAAAGACAAACACTATGTCTCCCCACCACACTACACAAAGGTAAGCATAATGTATAGCAGACAAGCTTTTAATAATAAATGAATGGATCAACAAATGAATCAAGATAGGTATTAAAATCCTTATGAGTCCAGTTTAATGCTTTCAAAAAGTGATTAATATAACGGGCTGGTAACGAAACACGAAAGTTAATACCATCCCAATATACCAGGTGAATCTATATAATAAAAGAGGTCATTGCTGCCAAAATGTTTAGAAAGAACATAGTTAAGAGTATTTTCATCATTCTGAGAAAGGTACTTTGTTTTTTAAGTAGAACATGAAAAGTACTCATTGCAAAAGAGGAACTGAGAAAGTTAGAAATTTTTCCTCTCCAAAGGATGCCTTTAATAGAGTGAAAAGGAAAACCACAAAGTGGGAAAAGATACATACAATGTAAGTATCCCAACAAAGGACATGGATACAGAATTCATAAATAAATTTCTACTAATCGACAGAAATACTACAGAAAACCCAATTAAAAAATGGTTAAAAACTCAAATCAGATTTCATAAAAAAGCTATCCAAATAACCTACAAAAACATGAAAATCATTCATCATCGTCAATAAGCAGGGAGATATAAAATAAAATCACAGTGAGATAAGATGAAATATGTGCATCAGATTCTAACGTCAGATTCTCCTAAATTTGATCACACGCATTTCCAATAATTCTATTCCTAAGAATATGCCCAACAGTAATGACTATATAAGGGCACAAAAAGACATGAACAAAATGTTCGTAGAAAGTTTATTATTCACAATAGGAAAAAACTGGAAACAACCCTATCTATCAAGAGTGGAAATGAATTGTGTCATTTTTACATATACGGTAAAGCAGTGAAAAATAATTAATGAAAAAACACAGAAGAATCTTAGACATTTATCAAGTTAAAAAAAAAAAAAAAAGCCTAACCAAACAATTTTTATCTATGTGGGGTTCAAAATGAGTTAAAACTCATCTATGGTGATGGAAGTCAGAACTGGATTACCTTTCCAAGAGAGGTGACTACAGCCTCAGGAGAGCTGAAATGTTCTTTCTCTATATTCACCTGGTTAACAGTTACTCATACTATTTCATTTATTAAACTTTTTGTGCACTATTTCAGTTTATGAATATATTTCAATCTACTCTAAAGAAATTCCTTCCAAATAAATTTCAGTGCTAAAAGTCAAAATTTAAACATTAAAGCTATTATTTTAAGCTAATTAAGGACTTACCAAAAAAGAATTTGATTGCCACTGTATCTCTCATAGCGTGCTCTTGCAGACATTAATCTAACATATTAAAAAAAAAGCCAAAAATTTAATTTTTATCTTCAATTTTGTTTTAAAAATACTGTTATAATTACTTCAACAGAAAATTATATCAAATAATACATACGTTAATAAAATTAAATAAAAATAAAAAATAAAATTATCCTATCTACCACTAACTTCACTTCTCCAAGACTTTAGAAATATATACATCAAATGCAGTATTTTCAAAAACATCAACTGGATAATATTAAGAGGCAACAAATATACTACTATTATGTACATTGTATAACCTGCCAATTCATACTGAACAATGTTCCTTTTCTGTTACGGAAAAATACACATTTGTCTGATTCACTATTGATTCCTCCTGTTAAGAAATTACTGGCAGGGGGGGAAAAGGTTACCAACAGATGCATACACACACACATATCAAAGTCTGTTGAATACACACACACACATATGTACATATACACATATATATGTGACTGCATTTAAAAATCCTTTAGTATTACTAAATGCTCCAGTTTTCAGCTTTCTTCTTCCAGACACATGCTGACATCTGAATTACGTTAGACAGAAAAGAGAAAATAATAGGCCCTAACCATTATATTTTAGCAATCTGGTCTAGTCCCTAACTTACACAAGGGCCAGAAAAAGTAATGGATGATCTGGTTATGGAAGGAATCTACACTTCAATTAATGTTATGCAAAGTTACTACAGTAAACACTTTACAACACTCAAAAGTGTTTTTATAAATGTAATCACAATGACATAAAGTAGCAGGAAAGAAATCTCATTTTACAGAATAGGAAAACTGGGTTTGGAAAGTTTATGGGTCTTGTTCACAGGAGCTCATACCAGATCAGGAGTTGTGATCCTTGCACTTTAATACAACACTACATCATACCCTGTCCATCTTAAGCATTTGACATAATATCAAAAAGAATTACAGAAAGTTAAGTTTTGTTTTCACTGGCTAGCAAATACTGAACACTGTGTTTTGCTTCAAATATTCTCATGTAACCCTCAAAACACTGTAACAAAGATAATCTCATTGTCTTTATTTCATCGAAGATAAAACTGCAGCGTAGATGTTAAGATTTGCTCAAGGCCCCGTGACTAAGGAAAACTGTGATGAGAAAATTCAAAGTCCTAAGCCTGTCCTACAAAAAGCCCCCAAATAATTTGGCCCTGTAATTAACCAAACCCATTTGAATAACTCCATCACAAAAGCTCTTAAACAGAGCATCACACTTACCTAAGCTGATGTTCCCTGAGATTTGATAATATTTCCATTCCATGAAGATAAGAATAAATAATATTTAAATCCTGGAGAACAGAAAAAAATTTAGATTATTTTTCAAATGTATTTTTCAAAATATCTTAACACCCCACAATTCTGATTTTAAGCCAACAACTGTTTATGACAATACTATTAACTATGGAAGACTAATAAAATCTCTGAATCAAAAGAAATCTGAAAAGGTAAAGAGCTACTTCCACTCATACAGGAACCCCTCCCTCTTCAGGATGGCTGACGGCCTCTACTCAAGCAATGCCAGAAATCAAAAACTTCTCATTTCATATGAAAGTCTATTTCATTTCTAAACAGATATAACCCTTCTTCCTCAGTGGCATCCAACTATTCAAAAAGAATTACCATACTGTCATAAGCTTTTAATTTATTATTTCCTCCAGATTATGCAGTCTCAGTATTTGCAGGTTCCACATCTTTAAAAGCATCCTGGCTAACCTCCTCTGGACAGGACCCAATTTGTCAATATTCCTCTAAAAATATGACTTTCTAAAAAATCTCTTTCTAAAGAGACCCAAAGTGATATTAATCAACCACTAACAAAAAAAGTCCAGTGGGACAATCCTGTTACTCTGTGAGAGAGGCAGGGAACTTTTCTCTAGTCCTCAGATAACTAGGTATTAAAACTCCCAGTATGATACAGTATAATCTCAGCCTAGAGGAGCAGCAGAGTAAAAGGCAGAATGCGGACACAGCCCAAATTCCCGACAGAATGGTCTACTTTACCACTTATGTAGAATGCTGGTGCACAGAGATTATAAACAAGCTTAAATTCTCTATATAAAAGGTACCTCCTTATTCTAAGGAACAATGCCTTTATACCAGGACAGGCAACTCCCCAACACTGCCCTCCTGCTTTGACATGCAATTGGCTAAGGGAATTATCAGATGACAGAAGAAAAAGACAGCTAAGACAACCTGTTTTTTAACAAATAAGAAAACATGGAGTCATTAAGAAAAAGAGCCATAATCTGTCATTCCAAAAATTACAACTAGTAATTAACCATGATAGATTCAATGACCACACCATCTCTGCTAAATCCTTAGGAAAATGGAGTGAAAAATATTTTTTCTATATACATATACAAAGGATAAATTAAAAGGGAAAACCATAACAAATGAGAAAGGTCTATAAAATTCTTGATGACAGAGTGATATGGTAAATTAATATTTCCAAAGATGACTACAATGGTATTTATCATCTTATATGCTCTTTCATTAGGACCTTACCACTCCATCAAAAATTGGAATCTTATGTGCCTTCCCCAAGAACCTGGTTGGTCCTTTGATTTGTTCGGATCAAAAGAATGTGGCAGAGGTAAAGATGTGTGACTTGTACGATTCAAGTACCCTGAGACCATCAATGATGTGAGGAAGCCCAGCAGTCTCTCATGGAGAAATGCCACGTGGAACAGCACCAAAGCATCAGATATGTAAGTGATGTCTTCTTAGACCAGTAGATGAATGGAACTGAGAGAATGATCCCAGCTGAGGTTCTGTGGAACAAAAGAACCAACCACCCAGTAAAAACCTTCTGAATTAAAGTAATAAAGTCCTTGCCAAAGTCTAGCTCATAGTGAACTCACTGAGCTTGCAAATCCATCTAATAGTCCCTCTCAAATTCCTGAGTTTATAATTAGAATGTATATACTTGTTAGTTAAAATAACCCCCAAAATGGGTCCATGATATAGTGGAAAAAGCCAAGTGGAAACCTCCAAAATTGCAAATATCCCATTCTCCAGAAGAAAACAGTAAATAAAAGATAATACTGCTTCCATATAGGCAAAGGACAGCAAAGACTAGGGCGTCCAGTAAAGAGTTGAGTATTCAATGGTGAAGGTCCCTACCATATACTGTCCTCAGAAAGTAAACATATCCTAAAAAAAAAAAATGCCTACAAATTGCCACAGACAACCACATTCCAACCGATAGTCTCAACATAACATTGTTGCTGGAACTGATTAAGCCTCAGGTATTGATTTGGTGAATACTTTTTTTCCATTTCCATTACAAAAGATCATCAGAAACCGTCTGCATTCATGTAGGACAATATTAACTTAGTTTTTCCTTAGGGCTATTTTAACACTCTCACTTGATCTGAGCCAAAAGGCCAAGAAGCGATTAACTCTGTCACTCTAACATAACACAATGTGAAAACATCTAGACCTTCTGACCCATTACATAGTTGCTATCTTGCTGAATGGACAGAATGAACAAGCGAATGACCAAGAAGAGGCTGGTACCCTGGAGTCCTTGGTAACACACACATACTCCAGAAAGTGGGCAATAAACTCCATGAGGAATCAAAGAACTATCACTTGCGTGTTTTTAGGGGTGCAGTGATCAGGGGCATTTCAGGACATCTCCTATTAACAAAATGTTGGGGCTTCAACTTTAGGTCAAGATAGAGTAAGAGGGACTGGACTTACCTTCTACCATAATCAACTAAAAATCAAAATAAATATATGAAACATTTTTTTTCATGAGGTAAGACATCAGGAAACAAGACCATTTAACACCTGAGAGAAGAGAAACAAATGAGATGATTCATATGATGGTACCTTACTGCCTGCCAGTATCTTTAGTTGAGGAGAAGGAGGGGGCAGTCTAGAGAGCAGAAACTGGCTAGAGTTTGCAGAATATGAGAAAGCGTGTTACACAGAGATAAAAGTATGTTTTGGAAACCTACAGAAGGTGCTCAAGTCTTAAATTGAGTACTGATCATCCTATCATGTGGGGAAAAAAAAAAAGAACTCAGGGAAAGAACTATTTGAAAGAATTAAGTCCTCAACCAGGAATGATTTTTGTCCCCTGGATGACAAGAGCAGTATCTCAGAGACATTTTGGGTTGTCACAATTTAGTGTGGAGGTAGGGAGTGGTGCTACTAGCATCAAGTGACTAGAAGCCAAAGATGTTAGTAAACATCCTCCAATGCACAGGACAAGGACCCAGAATAAAGGATTATCTGGGCCAAAATGTCCATAGTGCTGAGGTCTGAACACCCTGGATCAGAGGGAACATATACCTAAAACTTACACAGGGACACAAAGAGTTCCTACTTCCATCAGGCAGAATAGAAAGTCTCATAATTCACTGTGCATTTAGTTGAATACTCAGAAGGCTTTGGACTCAATATTGGGGCAAAATTAAACATAGATTAAACTCTACTCTGGCACTACAAACACAGCTCAAAAAAAGGCCCAAAAGAATCAAATAACTTCCAAGTCACTTAATTGTGTCCCAGAACAAAGTTGAGTAATATTTATAAGAAATATGAAAACCCCAGTACATAAAAAGGTAAAAGATCACAATCTCTGGTATTCAATCAAAAATTACCAGGCATGCAGAGGAGGAGGGAAAAAATGACTCATAATGAGAAGAAAAATCAATTAAAACCCATTTACCAATTACACAGATAACAGAATAAGAAAAACCATTTAAAACTTATTAAAATTTATTCCATATATTCAGGAAGATACAGAAAAGATTAAGCATGTAAGAAAGGACATTAAAAAAACTTCAGAGATGAAAACAGTATCTGAGATGTATAATACATTGGATGGGATGAATAGCACAATAAGACTTTGCAGAAGAAGAGGTTAATAAACTTGAATACACAAGAATAGAAAGCAAAAAGAAAACAGAAAAAGATGGAAAAAACTTGAACAGAGCACTAATGAATTGTGGAACAACTTCAAGCAGCCTAACAAAACTGTAACTGGTGTCACTTCAAGGCAGAGGGAGAACAAAGGAAAAAAAGTGAATTATGGAAAATATCCCCTTTTTGATGAGAACTATAAACTTACACATCCAGGAAGTTCAACAAACCCCAAGCACAAGAAATATTAGGAAAACAGCACCAAAGCACATCAAGATTAAACTGCTTTTAAAAAATGATGAGCACAAAACTGTAAAAGCAGCTCAAGAAACAAGATAAATTACATAAAGATTAGAATTACAGCAGGCTTCTCGTCAAGAACAATGCAATCCAGACAACTACTGTAGTAACATCTTTAAAGTCACAAAAGAAAAACAATTATCAACCTAGATTTCTATTGCCAGTCAAAACAGCTTTCAAAAACAAAGGGAAAATATTTTTCACATATATAAAGTCTGAATGAATTAATCACCTGCAGACCTACCCTATAAAAGAAATGTTAAAAGTCCTTCATAAAGGAGGAAAAACAATACCAGATGGAAATTTGAAACTACACAAAGGAATGAAGATAACTGAAAATGGAAACTACGTGGAAAAATATAAATCTTTTTTTCTAATTATTTAAACAATAATCAGCTTAAAAAGCATTAACAAAAAGGGCACCTGGGTGGCTCAGTCAGTTGAGCATGCCAGACTCTTGGTCTGCTCCAGTCATGATCTTGGGGTGATGGGATGGATCCCTGATATCCGTGTTGGGCTCTGAGCTCAGCATGGATTCTGCCAGGGAGTCTTTGTCTCCCACCTCCCTCTTCTAGTGCCCCTCCCCCTGCTTGTGAGCATGAACGAGCTCTAAATAATAAAATCTTTAAAAAAAATAAAAAACATTAACAAAAAAGATGACAACAAAAATGTGCTGTGGGCTTACACTATGCATACAACTAAAATGTATCTCAGTAAGAGCACAAAGGACAGGAGGTAAAAATGGCAATGCACTGTTGTAAGGTTCTTACACTACAGGTGAAATAGTATAATCTCACTTGAAGACAGACTGGGATAAATATAAGATGTATACTGTAAACCTTAATAAATCTCGTATTTTGTAGATATCCTTGTATTCTCTCTCATATATAACACATCCTTGTGAATGAGAACAATATTAGTTCTCACCCAGTCTGGGTCTTTTTTTTTTTTCCCCCCTCTCTCCTTTTTCTTATAGGTGTGGCCACACATACATAGCTGCTGGGGCCCCACCCTTTATGTTAAAAGTTATCATAACCCAAAATGCCTATCCTATGGAAATGTGCAATTTATTTCTGACATAAAGCTAATTTTGTTTTAGTGGCAAACAAGTTAG